AGTCACTGGATATCCGAGAGGTCCGTGAACCTTTTGGAAGCTAGAAGGCACCTCCAGGCTGGTTCTGAACATAATGTGACCAGACGGGCTATTAGACGTGAACTAAAGCGGAGCCTACGTGCTGACAAGGAAGCCTGGTGGACTAGTCGGGCTCAAGAAATGGAGGAGGCAGGAGCAGTAGGCAATTACCGCAAGCTCTTCCAGCTAATACGCACCACTGGTCCGAGAAAACCAGGCGTCAGTGAGACAATCAGGGACAGCGCGGGTGCGCTGATACACAATAAGGAGCGCCGTATGGCTCGTTGGGCTGAGCACTTTGAACATCAGTTCAACTGGCCACCTGCTCCCGGACCTCTTCCTACTCAGGTGATGCAGGACGAGCCATGGACGGTTAGTTTAGAGCCTCCGTCGGAGGCCGAGATCCGAAACGCGATCACAGCCCTCAATCGTTTTTGTGCAGCTGGCCCGGATTCCCTACCACCTGCACTATTTAAGGATGGAGGTGAGGTCCTCTGCAAAGCACTGACCTCCCTATTCGAACGTATCTGGAACGAAGAGAGTGTGCCGGCTAATTGGAGCGAATCGATTGTAGTGGCAATATACAAAAAGGGCAGTCGCACAGACTGTGCGAACCACAGGGGTATTAGCCTAACGCCAGTTGTGACAAAATTACTGGCCTCGATTATCGTCCGTCGCCTCACTGCAGAACGGGAATCTCGGATTAGGGAAGAGCAGGCCGGTTTTCGCCCAGGACGTGGCTGTATAGACCATATATTTACTTTGCGGCAGGTGCTAGAGCAGCGCCACGCATACCGCAGACCGACAATAGCTGTGTTCCTCGACTTCAAGAGTGCGTTCGATTCAGTCGATCGATCGATTCTGTTCGAAATACTTGCGCGGAAAGGTGTCCCCACGAAATATGTGAACATCCTTCGTGCTCTATACTCGAACACTAGAGGCCGCGTCAGGGTCTACGGTGTCCTATCGGATAGCTTTTCGACTACAAGTGGCGTTCGACAGGGTTGCCCGTTTTTGTTCAATTTCGTCGTGGATTCTATCATGGAGTGTTCCCTTGCGGAATCTCACGATGTAGGTGTTGAAGTGCTGCCTGGTGAACGGTTAGTTGATCTAGATTATGCGAACGATATCGTCTTGCTTTTCGACAATGTTGAGGCGGCACAATCAACCCTGAATAGCCTGTCCAGAGTGGTCCCATTATTTGGTATGCACTTCGCACCTTCAAAGTACAAAGTGTTGACGCAGGACCACCAGCCACTTGATGACCCCTTGACGCTTGCTAACGAGAAACTCGAGGTGGTTGATCAATTCACTTATCTTGGCAGCTGCATCAGCAATGATGGGCGCATAGAAACTGACGTGAGCTCACGCATTGCCAAGGCCAGAGCTGCCTTCTTGAACCTGCGTCATCTTTGGCGACAGAAGGGAGTTTCCCTCCGTCTGAAAGGCCATGTATACAAGGCCACAGTCAGGGCCGTTCTGCTCTATGGTAGTGAAACTTGGCCCCTTCGGTCTGAAGATCTGAGGCGCCTTCAAGTCTTTGATCATCGTTGTTTGCGAAGCATTGCTGGTGTCGGATGGCACCAGCGTGTCCGCAACGATGATGTGCGTAGGCGAGTACTATGTAGTGATAAATATGCTAACCCATTAGAACAACAGATAGCACTGAATAAGTTGCGTTGGCTCGGGCACGTGCCACGCATGCCTGGTCACCGCTTACCCAGGAGGGCCTTGTTCAGTCTACCAGGTGTAGGATGGCGCAAGGCTCGAGGTGGACAGAAGTTGACTTGGCAGCGGGAAATGAAGTCACTGACGACCAAACTGGGTGCCGTTGGTCCGTCTCGCCTTCCGGGTTGGAGTCCACGTGACTCACCTTGTGCTTGGCTCGAGACTTTACAGGATATGGCTCGCAACCGACAGCAGTGGCGCGCCTGCTGCCGTCTCCTAATCGGATTGTCTGTTTAAAGTGTGTTTGGTGCTGAGTTATCTGCGGGGTAATGGCTGATTATGACGCGTGGCAGTGAAAGCCGCAAGGAAGCTGTCTCGCCGATGCCGCCTTATCTTTGCACAATAGCCAGCTGGTTGTGACAGTATGTTGTCTACGCAAGGTGTAGGCGCCTTGACCCTGAATGTTTGCTTAGGGCATTAAGGTTTTCAGGTAAGTCCCCCTTCTCTCCCTTTTCTTATTTTTTATTTATTTCATAGGTCCTCATGGTTGTATGGCAGCGAAGCATCAGTTCAAATGCCTGATGTACTGCTGTTGATGATGATGATGATGATCTACTTCTTTAATTCGATTGGCAAATGTACCTCATTATTAATAGACAATCACCTTACATGTTTGTTTCAGCCGCGTCGTTTCCAAGGACATGTTGCTTTTCTTCCCATAAATTTTTATTTGGTAATGTCAGAGGCGTTTGGTTGACATCCATTTTTTGTAACGGTTCTTAATTTCTGGATTTGCATTTTTCCTATCCTCTGTTTCTGCACCCTCGTTTAAACATCTCATTTAGTTATTCTGATTAGCTATCACTCATCGTTGTGTATGGATGTTCATTTACGGTTTGGGTCCCATAATGCGATTCCCAAGGCCATTCCTGATTCGTTCTTCCTTCCACGACTGTTCATTCGCTTGTTGCGTTTAGTAGTAGTTTTCCTTTAGTAGTTTTCCTTTACAAACTATTCAAGGCCGTGTGGTTTAATGCATACAAGTCCTTCCCGGACCGTCTTTGGATTTCTTTTTGCTGACGTGGTGTGATGGCGTCGGTTACGACGCAACATTATCTAGCATAATGCAGTCGCGGAGTCATTGAAATACGTACCCTCGATTTCCTGCATCTAGACGGTACCATTCTACCCTGACTACTTTCACTTTCATTGTCATCAGCCTTGTTAGCCTTCTCCTGCAACTCGATCCATCGTATTACTATGCTTATCTCTTGGTTGGTTGTCTGGACTAAACCCGAAATCTTAGCTATCCAGCAAGGCACTTTTGCGTTGACGGTGATTAGGCATCATCATCACCAGTGCACATTAGCTAAGGGTGCAAAACACACCTCAGCTAATGTGCCGCAATGCAAAAATATGATGTTAAATATTATATTATGCGTATTGCATAAGATCGGGATTGGAGGGCGAACCTAAAGCGAAGGGGATGGACAAAGAAACTCACAACACAAACACCATTGGGGCCGGCTCTTCGCCATATCAGCAAGTGTGTCCAACCAAATGTGTTCGTAGTCCATAGAACCCCAACCAGGCGGTCGAGATGCACCAACCGACGCCATTTTCGAAGTGAGGGTTTTCATTTCGACCAAGTCATCGCTTGGCCTCCCCTACTCCTCTTCCAACCGCACCCCCGGCGCGCAAACAATGCACGTCGCGGAAGTCGGTGTGCTGGCATGCGCAACACGTGGCCCAGCCATCAGAGCCTGGTGCGTGATATAATGGTACTGAGCGGTTCACTCGCTCTTCCTGCACCAAATACGTGATTATGCGTGCCTATCACGAGTCCCTGATAACCTAATCGATTATATTTCATCTGTTCATCCAGCAGCTTTGACAGTCCAGTCCTGTTCAGCTTACTAACCGAAATTCCTGCACTGAACAACAGCGTATCAGGTTGCCTCACACCACCAAAGTAGTAATAAGAATTAGAATAGAAAGAAGGGAGATATGAGCAAGTTATCTAATCCCTTTGTGAAGTAGTTAAAGGCCGGTGACCGAAAGGATTACCTGTTTGCCGAAAGTCAACAGCTTAAAGACACATAAGTTCAGGCGACCTCGCCGTAGCGGTCGCGTTTCCCTAAAGCCTCGACAGGATCCAGTAGATATACACTTGTGTCGCGCTATGCCTCAACGGATTGCTTGATCATGTCGGCTTCCTCTCTTCCATAATGGTCCAGTGTTCTTAATACCACGGCCTCTATCCCCAGAGGAGGCTAATGCTATGCGTTTTGCTAACGATCCTCGTAAGGATGAAACGACCGTCCAGCGCTTTTCTGGATGTGCAGTGCTTGTCTAACTATGTGTGGCTGGGACGGATTTTCTTCGGAATTCAATCCAAATTGCTTCTTTAGTTCCTATTTAAAGAGCTTATAAATGACTATTTTATTTTTCGGTTTAACAAGCGACTGCGTCCATGAAGAGTGCAGTATGTTCTCGTGTATGTGAACATTCAATCGATATAGTTGCATTTCGTACTGCAGATAATCAATGGTTGCTTTAATCGTTATTTGACGTCTATCGATGACACGGCTTCCAACTTCCGGTTTGCGCAAACCACTTAACTAAAGGCAGTGTCGTGATTTCAGACGCGTCAGTTCACGCTTGTTGTCATAGACTCATGTGTTTCCTTGAGGCAGAAGAGAGAATACGGGAAATGTGGTATGGGTGAAATTAGTCTTCGAATCAGTAAATGTTGTTATGCACTGTGTCGTTTGGAGCCGTACTGCATATAAAGTGACTGTACGCACGTCTGTTTTAAGCTAATCTCTAACTTTATTCACTGTCAACTCTCTCTTTAGTAGGCTGCGGAACACCCCTTTAAATTGTCAAACTCTACGGTAGCTTGTTCCTTAACGAGGGAAGGGATATGACTACGCTACTGACAGTTGACTGTGTCCAATCACTACTATGACCGTAAACTGGTTACTTAAAATGCGATATTCCGTAACTTTCTACTCACAACGACTCTTGTTATGGGGGCGTACTTTTTCTTCTCTACATGCTTCCTCTGATTAAACTGGACAAGGTTTGATTGTATTCCCTGTTGTTTTGTTATCCTGCACATCCTTTGGGTTGCTTTTGCACTTTTTCCATTGACATTTTTCCTGTGCCCACTTTCCACATCGTCAGCACAAATATCAGTAACTGTGTGTTCTAAAGCATTCGATATCCTGATGTTCACTTGTGAAGTTCATTACCCACCTTGCACATTCTCCCACAGTTTTACATAACCTCTGGTACTCTCTCACACCCAGGGTTGATATTCCAGGCACTACACGCAAAGAGACCTGGATCATGAATCCAGAAGAAAAGGCTCAAGAAGTTCCAGTTCTGCGCGAAGAAGGTAATCGGCTGTACGCTGATAAAGATTATGAAAATGCCTCTCTGAAATACCAACAGGCACTGGGATTGTTGGAACAGTTGATTTTGCGTGAGAAACCCGGCGAACCTGAATGGGAAAAGTTGGACAAGGCACGCGTCCCGTTTTTTGTTAATCTTGCACAATGCCAATTCAAACTGAAGGTGAGTGTTGACTTCCTCTCATCTATTTTGTCTTTTTTCTGAAGCACAGTTCTTGTTGTTGATTGGCTTATTGTGCCTGACACGTTGAATTTTTACCCAGGGCTTTTTCTCCTAGTCAGAGTGATCTTGCGATTTGCGCAGTTAACGCCGTTCTACAGCCATCGTATGTCAAATGTCAGCTGCCCCATTTGTTAGGATGAGAACGATAGTACCCGCTTCTCCTATCGCTCATTGATGCTTATCTTGCCGCAACAATTGCATTTCAACAGTCCTTTTGATTCTTCCTTTTCACAGTCTTCCTATGGAATCAGCATACAAATTACTGTTCTCCAGTAGGTCGTTCAGCTGGATTCCTAGTTCCGTAAGAGCTTGCGATTGGATCGATTCCAGCAAGCGTTCTGGTCACAGGAAGCAGTTTGTATTGGTGCGGAAACGTCGATCGTTCATAGTGCTTAGTGCTGTCGGTGATCTTATGTCCAGGGGATGGTTAGTTCATTCAACGGTTTGGATAGTCCAACTGTTGTTTGGAATTGGATTGCCTCTTACCTTAATCTGCGATCTCTCAAGAGAACACCATTTCTAAGTACTAAATTATCCCACCTGAAATGCGTGTGGTATATCGGAATTTGTCCTGCGTCCTTATGTAATAGATGAATTCATTCCCCCTCTCATTTGCCACTATAGAACGGGCTTTAGACAAGCCCCGGTGAATCAGTAAGTTTCAAGGTAATGTGAACATTGCCGGTGGCCGAAAGTACAAAGCGTCTGCCTTGTAATCCAAAGGTCGCGGGTTCGATTCTGCATAGGGGACCGTGTGACCCTCGCAGTATCCTTAGCCCACGCATGACTGGTGGTGGTTGCGTGACAGCGAAGCCGGTACTGGGTACCGGTGCACTTCAGATACGTTACTTATTTTCCTCACACGGACAGCCTTAGAGGTACTGTTTATTTTCCCTGGGGATAGCGAAGTAACCCCAGTGATTCGCCGTGCAAGCGAGCGTATGCAGTGTTTCTGAGCCGCGGAACCCAGCGTCCTCCTTCAACTAGCTGACAAGGTTATAGTTTTATTAGTAACTGGTGCTCATTTTAAAATAAAGACCTTGGCACTGACCACCCCCCATCGGTTTTCTAACTTACCTTCGAAGTTGGACAGTTCCTTTAGAAACTGAGAAGCTGTCGCAATCCTTAGTTCGACAGCTTTACATGAGTTCTCTGCGAACCAGATTTTCAACGGATTTCTCCGATGACTTCGAGTTTCAGTGGGATAGAATTTTGGGTGCAATTCTTGGCAGGTGAGCTTTCGCTTTCGGCACTGCTTGTCATCCCTATTCCGGACACTGAATATCCGCTCGGCAAACGGATCTGTTCGTACCCTAGCGACGAACCACTCCAGGCTTGGGGCATATTACGACCATCAAGGCTAATAAATGCAGGCTTACAGTGGAGCCGAATTGGTTCACAAGTCTCAGAAGATGTGGAGATACAGAGTAATGTGTTATTACTACCGATGTGTCAACAGCAGGACGGCAAACCGTGCCGACGTCTCGCCGCGACGCGACCACCACTCATGCGTAGGCCAGTGACCCAAAGGCTTACGTGCTTGCCGCTTCGAATTCGCGTAGGCACGGACGATTTTGCGATGTACTCAGCTCACGCGCGTTTGTTGGTGGTCGCGTGGCAGCGAGGCGTCAATACGATATACCGGCATACTGCTCATACCTTCCTTCTTCTCGTGCGTGGGTTGGGTACGCAGCGAGATTCTCCACACCTACACGGATTCAAACTAGTGACCTGGTTACAAGGCGGGCTTGTAATCCTTTTGTCAACCGGCCGACTGTAGACTATTCCACCGGGAATCTTTTTGGACTCGTCCGGTGGAACGCTTTTATGATCAATTCAGTTGGCCTTTTATCTATCTGCCGTTTCTTTCCCAGTTAGCCTAAGTCGAACTGTAGCAATTCCGTTAGATGCACAATCTAAACCTGAGGTTCGTAGCACGATCGCACTGCCTACTGTTATGTCGTAACTTATTCAGATCCTCTTCCTCACTCTATCGAAGGGTAATGGTCTTTTATGAATAATTGGTCAATCATGGAAGGGAAAGGTTTTTCCAACCGAACCAAATGATTTTCTTATAGTCTTACTAATCAATAAAGACGATCATAACGTTTGCCGTCATACACAGGACATTTATCTGAATACCACTATTGACCAATGTTGAGATCCTTATCTTCGGTTGTTGCCTATTTGATGCTCAGGACTCCAGGGTAAGGGAAGAACCGGTTAGGATTAGGGGCCACATGTGACACATTTGCTTCCTCCATTTGCTGCTAAATCAACGTCCCATAACACGACTGTAGCTATGTTAAGTAACTTGTAGTATGCGTTTGACTAAATTGATCGATCAGTTCCGCTCGATATGCTGTAGCGAGCTACGTGGATATTTTGCATGTATCCTCTTCGAACAACGCATTATCTGTTTTAGTTCAAGACTACTCGTCGATTGCTCTTGTGATATCAAGTAGCGCCCTCGAAATCTATTCCGTTTGCATTTTTCCTTTCGTTTTTACTTTAACTTTCATCATATGATCTCATGATGCAGAAATTAATGTTCTGGCTGGCGAATATGGTCGATCCGAATTATTCAGTAACATCATTTAGCGAATCTCCTCATCCAGTTTTGGAAAAATGTTCAGTAATGGTTACATTTTTGGCGCGTGCTTTCCAACTTCGTTAAGCTTTTGCTAGACAACCGGTTGCTTCTTCACTGTTTGCGTCGAGGAACTGGAATAACATAATAATTGTAAGCGGTAATCCGCTTGGAAATCTTGAGTGAACGCGTCTGCACCGGTTTCAACAAAATAAGACCGGAACTGGAATGCGGTACTATTACAAATAATTCAAAGCAATAATATACACTACCTCAATCATCTGTGCTTCCGGCACAGGAATATCAAACAACAACAACAATTCAAGGTAGCCAGCAAGGTGAGCTTCAACTTCACGCAGAATAAGCTCGTCTCAATGTACTGTGGCTTTAACAGGCTTACATATGAACAATCGGAAACGGAGATTGCCGTGAAACGTGGGCGTTCGGCCAGTGCCGTACCCACACACCGTGCTGATATTGCAAGTGTTTCAATTGCACACGGAGTAACATTTGCAATTGTCTTCACGGACGAGGTGGTTTCATGTATGTGAACTCTACTCAACTGACCTCGCAACATCATCAGGTCACATGCGATGTGAGTAATGTCTTGCTCGCCAGTATCCGAATGCCACGGCGAGGGAGTTAAAACGGAACATCGCAAACGGACAACATGAGGCGAAGCCACATGAAGCGACAATTAGGTCTGTTTTGAACTTGGAAATATAGGTCAATGCATGCACGGTTGAATTCAAGTCATCTATGTGTTTAAAGTGCAAATAAACTTAATTAACTTGGCACGGAACACAATCTCCATTGAGAGCCAGATAATAAAGATCGGTTGGGACAGAGAAAGGAGTTGGGAAAACGGTAAAGGGAATCACAACCATGAGGCAGGGAGTGGTAGAAAGGCAGCAGTGGATAGGACATTTGGGGAATCTCCTACAATAATCTTACTGCATATATTTCTCGTGATCAACGAAACTGTGTATGTAGCTGCACAGATGAATATTTTCAAGAATAACCATCTTGCATGGGCGATATGCATTATTAAGCTGTAAGATTCACGTAATTACCTTTTATTGGATGGTTGAAACCAATGCCGAGATTTGGAAACGTGTTTGTTTAGACGTTTTTGGGTCGCTCTTGGAATTGTTCATAGAGTGATTTTTCCCACGTGGGTGTGGTCATTATTGTTTTCTAGGTCAAGTTGACGTACAAGCTTGTTCCTAAATGCTGCCACCGTACCACTTGATCCGAGTATGATTGCCAGTTTATTCCGCAGATAGGTATATCTGATTAAGAAGAAGTTGGGGCGCAAGTTTTCTCCAGTCTTTGGTATGACCACTGTATACTCTTTGTTGCGAAGCCGCCGAATTGAGTTATGTTGCAACTCGAATGTAGGTAGAACAAAATGGACCTTTTTTGTTGCAAGTGTAATGCAGTGACAAAAACGGCAGTCATCAGCAGTACGCCGTTACGTAGTGCCGACGCTACGCTGCCGCGCGACCACGAACAGTCGCACGTGGGCTTAGCATACTGCGAGAGTCGCCCGGTCCCTACGCATGCTCGAACCCGCGCCCTCGGATTACAAGACATTCAAAGCAGTAACAAGTTTGCATCCAAAGCGGTTCGAGTTGAAGTTTGTTGCAACGCTCTCTCTAATTCATGACAGACTGCTTATCAATCAGATGTTTAGTAGACGACCTCCGCAAATGTTCCTAAGCGATGCTGGCGCCCCTTCTCATGCTGTCACATATTATGCTACAACATTCATAGATGGAATGGTTGAATAGTTTAGAAAACCTAACTCGAGCATGCATTGTGTGGATTTCGTTGTCTTACCCACGCCATTTGGTATTGGTCCCGTTCGACGAGATTAGAGACCGATGCGCACCTATTTCCGAGATCGCGAGTGAACAGCTGTGTAAGGACATGTTAGTTGTTCAATACAATAGATTCCTCGGGGATGGAAGAGCCGGAAGGCATAATGCTTGATTTTTTTTAATGGAGCGGTTCATTATCCACTAGTGGCACCATGCCTCAAGCAAATATCTGATTGTTCGGAAAGTAATTTCGTTTTTCCCAGCATAAGCTCTAAATGTATATTTTTCCCAGTCGGTTTCACACTTAAGTCGCCCTTTTTATAATTGACAGCTGGTATAGCAAGGTCTGCTTGTGAAAAAGTTCGATTGATTCCACGCGGTATTTTTTGTTTGGTGCCCTTTCAAATAAGAAGAGTGAAAAGCATTGTTTTCGGCGTATTTTACTTTTTTACTACCGAATAGATGAAAATGCTGCTCAGGCAAGAAAAACTTATGGGATACGTATGGAGATGTATTAACAGAACGCC